CGCTTATGAAAAGATGTCTTAAAGTGTCCTCTTTCTAATGCAGAAAACCGCACTTCATTATCTATCTCCCGCGAGGAGTTATTCAAAAAGCAACCGAGTGCCAACCATTTTGAAACGGAGAGTAGTAGTTGGTCATACATTTCTCTATAACACAAGAAAAGAAAAGAAAATAGTATAATCCCTAGTCATATATTTTAACTGTTGTTTTCATATGTATATAAAGAAAAAGAAAGGGAAAGCTTAGTATGATTCTACATGCTAGATTCTGTACTTTATCTAATACAGATAAGTGAAGGATGAGTCATAAATGATAGAACCATACTCCAAAGCCGGGCGAACACAAGTTTTATACAAGTGAAGGCGTAACAAAGGTGGAGCATCCCTAAACACACGAGAAATAGATCCCAACATCATTGTACAATTAGATGCAATATGTCCTAAGTGCCGTTTCCAAGTCAGGTCATGAATAAGTCTCATGCCAAGTAATTTTATGGCTGTTGAGCGTTCAATTTTTATATCGTTAATAGTAAGTGACATAGATGGATAGGTATTAGGTAAAGTAGAAAAGATTATCCATTCGCATTTTTTTATATTGAGATCAACGAAGTTAGTGTCACACCAGCAAATTACCTCGTCAATATAAGATTGAGCCTCATTCACATCGCAGAGTAGAAATAGGTTGTCAGCAAAAAGGGATGTTAACAGCGGAGAAGCTAACGATTGTGGTAAGTCATTTATAAATATGAGATAAAGTAAGGATTGACCCTTGAGGAATTCCGAAACTAACAGAAAGAGAAGCGATCTCACCTGCTACAACTTTTTGTGTCCTGTCAAACAGCAGAACATTCCTGGTGATCCGTTCATACCTATTGTCGGTCACATTCCTCGCTTTAGTCGAAATGACCAGATCCTCGATGTTCGTCGATATCAACAAGAGAAACATGGCAACATTTATTTGCTGTCATTTGGACATCGCGTCAATTTGGTATTAGTTGACACCAATTACATTGGCGATGTGTTGAGAAAGTGCGCAAAATGTTACAAGAAACCGGAACTGTTTCGAACTGTATTCGGTCCTTTGATTGGCGGCACAAACAATCTGTTTGCCAGCGAAGGTGAGGAGCACAGACGATCGAGAAAAATGTTGAATCCAGCATTTCAACATTCGAACCTGCAGTCAGTGGTTACAATCATGACTGAGCAGACAGCCAGACATGTGGACGAGCTATTGGCAGATATCACGAACAACGACATAAAGGAATTTGATATGGATCAGGAATTCTACAAACTGACATTGTCAATCATTGTCTCATCTGTATTCGGCCAGGAAATATTTGAGACAAAATCGAACGGAAAAGAAGTACTTTGCAGTGCATACAGAAATGCCATCAAAGCTATCGAATATCGTTCATTGTACATGATTAATCAAATACCAATAGTGAAAAATTTACCGTTATGGAAAAAAGACATCGTTGACAAAGGAACAAATGAAATTTGCAAGTTTGTTAATGAAATCATCGTTGATTATAGTCGAAAAAACGGTTCGTCATCGCCAACAAATAGCAGTAATATACTCAGTCTATTATTGTCGGCTACTGATCAGTATGGCATCGGATTCAATGATGAGGAACTGAAGCAAGAAGCAGCGTCATTCCTTTTCGCTGGTCATGAAGCAAGCAGTAATCTGATGACATGGTGTTTATACGTACTGATGACGCATGACAATGTCTACCGGGATTGTCAAGATGAAATTGACCGTGTGCTAGAAGATGGACAGCCACCCGAATTCTGTAAACTGAATGAGCTGGAAATACTCGATGCTGTACTGCATGAAACACTGCGCTTCTATCCGCCGTTGCCCACAATTCGGCGAGAATGTATCAAAGAGCACTGCATCGGTTCATCGAATCAGCAGCTGCGAATACCAATTGGCACGACAATCAACATCGACGTGTACGGTGTACATCGTTCACCTCGGTACTGGTAGGAGCCATTGACATTCAATTACAGATGATGGATGGGCGATGAGAGACGAAAGAATCTGTCTAATCCTTATTGTTTTCTGCCGTTCTCGGGCGGAAATCGCAGCTGTATCGGCCAACCATTTGCAATGCTTGAAGCAAAAGTCATTCTGTCGATTTTACTGCGACGGCTCAAGTTCGAACTGGTCAAAGGACAAGAGATTGTGCCGGATGTACAGTTGACAATGAAGCCAAAATACGGCCTCCTGGCGAAAATAATAGCGAGATCAGTTGAGAAAAAGTGATCTCATAACGAACAGAATTGTGATATTTGACTACGATATGTAAAGTATTCTCCTTCCATTTGGAGCTTTTAATTAGCAGATGGGCTCTACAGTCTAAAATAAACGTTGTAGAATCTCTATTTTTTTTTGCAGTTTGCATAATACACCACGACCCATCTTTTGAGATCACTGTTGACTCTTCATCATTCCGAAATTATTCGAATTTCGGATTTTCATATCTGTCTCAACCGGGTCATGTTATGACTCC